AAAAGTACAAATTCATCGGCTTTACGGTATGACTTGTCGGCAATAATTCCATTGGCCTCGTCCTCCTCTCGTTGCTCACGGGCCCGGCGTGACTCCTGCCCGGGACCAAACGTCACCACCTCTCGCAGGAGCAGAAAGTGTGGTTCATGTGTTGCGAGAGAGAGCATAACAAGATCGGCATCAAGGCCGTACATGCAGTGGGTTTCGTTTGGGCTATACCCCGGTTGCATCTTTCGGCGGCGAATGAAGTCCACAATCTTATGTTCCCCCTCGCCCGGGTTATCGTGGCCGGAGTACACGACTTGGCAGTTTTGCCACGCTGGATCCGTAGCAATCTTCATTGTGATAAAGTACTGGAATTGCTCACTCACCCGCACCATAAAATTTGTCCCAGGCGTGATGCAATTGCTATCAAATACGTCCTTCTCATCGGGTACCTCTTCTCCTTGCGCAATAGCCTCTTGTCGGGCCACCATCAACTCGTAGCCACTACGATACCGACGTTGACGCTGTTGGTTCATCTTCGCCCTTGGCGCCACGCCGTCAACAGCCAAAAAAAAGTACTTGCGCGGCTGAATCACGTTGAAAAGTTTCTCCAAATAGGCAAACATCGCCTCCATCATCGCCTTCTCTGTCGGTGACTTCTGCGTTGCGTCCACATCGTTGGTGTGGGTGCAGTTATGAATAATGCCATTCATGTCAAGATACAAATTGTCGACGGGTGGCGGGGAATCACGGAACGGGGTGATGACAGTCGGGCAGCGCTCCGCAACCCACCGAAAAAACTTTGGAACTCCCATGGATGCACCTCCGTGGCACAAATGCACAGAAGCACCTAAAAAACAAAACAAAAAAAAACAATGAATTTGTGCAAAATTCCTTTTCCCTTCCTTTTCTTTTCTCCTATCTTTCTCTTCCCAAATGCCGCCCCCACCCCCCTCTCTCACAAACACACACGTTAACCGCAATTATAACGTAGCAACTACTCAAATGACTATTGTTATAATTGTTATTATCCGTCGGTATAAATATACAGATGTACAACAACAACAACAATAACAACAACAGTAATGATAATACTGATGAATAGCAATAATAATTGCCTCTGCAAAGTGTGTGACCGGAAACAACAACACCAACAAAAAAATAAATAAATAAATAAATTAATAAATTAAATAAATGGGGTGTAGGCAAATAAGGGAATAAGTGCAGAGTCAAGAAAAAGAAAAGGAAAAGGAAAAAAAAAAAAAAAAAGAATCTAAAGAGAAAAAAAAAGAAGAAGAAAAAAGAAAATGGGAAAGAGAAAAGAACATGACATTTCAAAAGAGAGAGAGAGAGAGAGAGAAAAAAAAAAAAAAAAAGGAGAAATGGGAAGGCGTAACAGAAATATCATTTAGAGAAATGCTGCGTGTTACATCGCACATACCGTCCCATGACTTGTGTTAGCACGGAGTGGGTGGTAATGCAACAAGGAGGGGAAGGGAATAAACACACGTGACAATCCCATTAAAAAAACAAGAGAGAAGAAGAGGGGAAAAAAAAAAAGGAAAAACAATGGGCTCTACATCTCTCTCATGTAAAAAGCAAACAAACAAAAATTTTGTCTTCGTTCTCCTCATCCGCCTCCCTTACACCTACTCAAATACATGCAATATATATTATATGCACGCGGTCACTCTTTACCCCTCCCACCAACGCCACACATTCCCTCCATTTTTTTTTTTTCCTCTCGCTCTCCCCTTCCTATACATAAACAAAAAGTCAAAAAACGAATAGCTACATGCATGGACGTTAAGCACACACACACACACACAGAGAGAGAGAGAGAGAGACAAACATATATGAAGAAAATATCTAAAAGAAAGTTCTCTACGCCACCTTGTTACCCTGCTCTTCTTCAAAACACACGGTAGGCTTTTCTTTTGACTGCTTCAAATCCTTATCTTGGGGTGCCGTGACATCATTGGGATCTTTATCCACGGCGTTGTCGGCAGCAGTGGTATTAGCGGCGGTAACCCCCTCCTTGACGCCGGTTTGGTGAGCACAAGGAAGCGTCGCTGCTTTTGCGTACCGCCGTCCCACGATGGTGCTGTTTGACTTCAGCGCGCCCGTCGTTGTAAAATCCTTCTTAACGACGCGGTTTCGTTGATTCACCACGTCCGTAGCGCGGGCATAATCCGCCGTGTAGTCCCCAACCTGGTACACCTCAGCGCAATGGCGATGTCGACTGTTCGCACAGATGCCAACCTTTTCACGGAGGTACGACCGCGGCAGGTAGTCGCAACTTTCCTTCATAAAATCACTCTTCACATTCCGCACTCCTTGCGGATGATCACTAGGACGCAGCAAAAAGGCGTTATGGCTCACCGGTGTAAAGTCATAACCAGCCTGCGTCAGTACCGGTGGCGGGCATTCCTTGTACAATAACTGTGGCGCAAAAGTGCGTGGAAGTTTCTTCGAGCAGGTGTGGTGCCCGCGCTCATCAACAAGAGGCTTCAAAAGCGGAAATAAGCGGGCACGACCTGCCACAGACGCCTCAATGGTGCTGACCTTGTACACGCCGTTGGGGTCATATGTGCCGGTGTGCTTCAGTGACGCAGGATCATTTGGCTTGAGGCGCGCGTAACTCTCAAAAGAGCCGCAAGAGAAATGAATGCGAGCTTTCAGAAGTCCCCACGACTTTTTGTTCGCCTCCTCAATGACGTCAAGAGCGTCACGGTATGTGGCACCCCTCTTTAATGTGTGTGTCGTCCATTTGGAGAGTGGGTGGTCACGTGTGGAGGTGGTGTTGATTTCCTCCATGCGGTAGCCCTTCTTGCGCAGCTCCTTCTTCGGCGGCAGCTCCAGAAGGGCGTAACTGAGCGGGACACTCTCCGTTGGGTCCTCCACTTCCATGCCGGTTTGCATTTTCCTTCAAGGCCTCACACACACACACAAAAAAAAAAAAAGGTACTTGATTAAAGGGAAAAGACAAGGGCAAATGGGAAAAAAAGGCAAATTGATAATAATAATAATAATAAAAGGGGGACTGAGGATCGCCCAAAAATTTATATACACAATTACGTTGCCATGTCATGTTCACTTCAACGCATGTGGTGATGCATGCAAAAATCAACGACAGAAGCGCAATTTGTGTAAAAGGCGCAAAAACTCAAATAAACAAAGAAATAAATGGGCATATAGCAACTCTTGTAAAAACGACCTGAGTACGTGAGAGAGTGTGCCCGGCTTCTACGTCCATTCACTCACACAATGTGAGGTAGTAAAAATCACTCATAGAAAAAAGGAAACAAAAAAGAAAAAAGAAAAAAGACACCACCACAACAACGACATGGTTTGACAGCCGCATCGGTGCTAGAAAAGACCCTCCACGTCAAAAATGTTCACTGGGGCGCCTCCTGTTCTTTTGCGACTCCCCACTTTCGTTGAAGTGGCGACCATGCCGCCCCCTGGAGCCGCCACCCCCGCTGCCGTCACGGTCGCGGGTGCCTCGTGCGCAACGCCACATCGTCCTACACGTCGCCTTGCGACTGCCGTCCTGTTGAGCAATTGATGGTGGTGTGCCGTCGCGTCAAAGGCGTTAAAGCGCAATTCGCTTGACCGCCTTGCCGAATTCTCCACCGTCACCGGGATGATGTCATCGGCGTCGATGTCATGCGTTGTGGACAGCACCGTGTTGCCGGGCAGGCCGCTCGCTAATAGCTCCAACTCCACCGTTTCACCGCCCAGAGCCAAGTTTTGCTTCCGAAAGCACTTACCACCTGACGGCACTACGGCAGGACTCATACCGGTGGGGCCGTCACCACCGCTGCCGCCGTACGCTTGGAAACACGGATACGACGGAAGAAGGGGTGGGTCCAACAGGAGGAGGTCCTTGGCGTCGGGATAAGCCGTGAGCTCGCGGGTTACCCAACCGTCCATCTTCTCCTCTTTTTTTGTCTTCTTTCCCGTCCGACAATCCGCATAGACTTCTGCCGCCCCCGCCTCACTATCGCTGGCTGCCTCTAAAAAAAGGGGATTTGGATCGGTGCGCCTCCCACCGGGACTCGCAGGAGCGTGCGGCCGCTTCGCCCCCGCGGTAACTTTCCTCGCCGTTACAGTTATTTCCTCTTTTTTATTCGCCCTCGGCAAACGCGGCATGGGGTTCTCCGGGAAGGGCGTCAGTACGAGTGGTGTCGCGCGGACGATGCTCTTGATGATGTCAAAATACTCCACGCAACAGAGCCCCAGTTGCTCCCGCATGACAGGCACAAAGTCGAGGAGTGGAAGACGCTCTCGGCTGTTGTACAAAACAACATGAAGCTGGTGTTCGGCGTAGAAAGAGGCAATAACCCGCTCGTAATGATAGTCGTTATTTAATTGTATCAACGACTCATCCAACAGCACCCGCCCTTGGGCACAAGGCAGAAATTTCCTCACCTCCTCATAAAGCGATCGCTGCACAGTAACAAATGTGAGGCTGGCGAACAGCCGCTGGCGATCCTGTCGCTGTGGCGGATACAAGAGCCGCAGCCCTTCCGAATCATCCACGACTGACTGCACCTTTGAGTGGGTGCCACCAACACTCTTGTCTTCTGTCCCATCATCCCACAGTTTTGACCAAAAGTCCGCAAGTGGCGGCGTGTAGACCCGCGGGTCCGGCAGCGGCACGTGCGGTCCGTGGCGATTCCGCAGTGCCTCAAAGAAGGCAGGCGTCACGATGTCCACGGCGCGACACAACATGGCAATGGTAACAGGGGTAGGCGTAAGAAGTGAGGTAACAAAATAGTCCGCTCGGTAATAATCGGTCACGACGTGGGCACCGCAGCGACGCAGGCAACAGTTCAGCTTCGCTCTCTGCTCCTCTTCGAGAGCGAGCGTAAGGACACGCATCGGGGTCCACCGCAGCCGCAGTCTCGCGCCGTGTGTGCCGAGATTGATGGAGAAGTCCCACCACGAGGCATTTTCACAGGGCACATGAAATGGCTCATCCTTATTTAACTTCTGTGGCGAATGTGACAGAAGCACCTTCGCCTCTGCGTCATCGTTGGCACTACCTTGACTACGGCATAGCTGCAGCTCCCTTGTGATGAGATCAGTCGCCTCACGCCTGATGCCGTTGCTACACGGCGAGGAGGGAGAGACTCCAGTGCCATATTTGGACATATCTGTGAGAATCATCCGCGCTGGCGTCTCTTCTTCATCCTCCACGTGCTCTTTTCCATCTACCGCCGATATCTCCCCAACATCCATCCTGAGATGTTTTCGGCTGATGCTCGCGTCATCTTTGATGATGATTTGACAGTCCTTCTTTCCCACCGTGTACGACTCGCCGCCCAGAAGCCAAAAACAGGCCTCACCCTTAAAATATACAACCCACATCGAAACCACAACCACTGTTCTTCCCTCCCTCTTCTTCTGCCACCGCGCCCCTCCTGTTTCCGTCACACACACACACAACCCCCCGTTATTATTATTATTTGCCTCCTCTTCTTCTCTCTTTCTCTCTCTCTCCCTGTCTCTATCTCTGTACGGCTTCTCAAATGGGGAAAAGGGCGGGCAACAACAGAGAGAGACAAACGAGATTTTTTAAAAAGGCAGCCACAAGACAGTTTTTGGTGAAATGTAAAAAAAAAAAAAAAGGGTGGACAGCAGAGTAAAATCTACGCACAAGAAAAAAAAAAAATGTAGCAGAATGGCGCAACCGCACGTTTTCACTGTTCTTCTCTTCCAACGAATCCCTTTCCTGTGGATTCCCACTGGTAATGTACACACAACGTAGCAGACAATAAACGGAGTTTTCTTCTTCTTCTTTTTTTTT